GAGGCGGCCTTGGTGAAGCCCGACAGCTCCTTGGCGCCAATGGTGGCCTTCTGCAGGACATCTGCGGTGGACAGAGAGGGAGCAGCACTGACCCCAACCCTGTCCCCAGCCCAGCCTGCACACAGCCCCACAGCCAGTCCTGGTGCTGGGTACAGCCTGTCCCACCGTGTTTGGAGGTAGGCAGGGATGAACGACGCAGGGCAGAGAGCCTTCAACACTCCAAAACCTCTTGAGACTGGAGCTGGCCCTGGGGCCACCAATACCCCAAACCCTCCTGAGGATGGAGCTGGCCCTGGAACACTGACACCCCAAACACGTACCTGGCTGGGCAGGAACAGTGCAGCTGCTTTCGATGCTGCGCTCCCTGGATGTTTCAGGAGGGCCCTGGAGATGTTGCATGAGCTGGGAAGCATGGAGGCAGGAAGGAGCGGACTCCTGGTGGTACCCGCTCCCTGACTGGTGGACATAGCGGGGCAGGACGCTCTGGCCATCAGGGTGCAAGAAAGGCTTGAAATGCTCAGCAGTGGTGGACATGGTGGTGTCCCGGCAGTGGCTGCAGCGCGACACCAGCATGGTTGTGACCGGGGGGGCCTCAAAACTTGCCCCCTGTCCTCCCCACAGTGGGGGTACCTACCCCTCTGCTGTGCTGCACGGGCAGAGCAGGCGGGAGACGGCCGAGTCGTTGTTGGCCACATAGCCGCTGTCAGTGGGGGGGCCAAGGTGCGGATGAAAACGCGGCTGGCCTGGGTGACAGCAGGGAGAGAGGGGGCTCAGCCCTGGGAAATAAGCCCCCCCACATTTCGGGAGGCCTTCGGGATCCCCTACCGTGGGCCACCGCGTAGGTCGTGGCGTAGAAGTTCATGAGGTCACTGCTTCCCCCAGTGCGAGACTTCGGTGAGGGGCAGACGGTGCCCAGCCCCATGGCAGGCAAGCCCCGTGGCAGGGACCGCAGCTTAGCATGGGGAGAGACAAACTGACAGGCAGATGCCATGGTCCAGCTGTAACAGAGCAGCTCCCACCTGGCCCCTGGGCCTGGAGGGCACAGGTGGCTGTGGAATGTTCCCAGGGAAGGGCGCCTGGTAACCAGGGTACACACACACGGGGACCTCAGACAAAGGGGTTGTCACTGCTGCCTGGAGACAACCAGCCCTGCTGGGACACCCCACAGATGGCACTGGGGAGCAAGATGCCCCACTCGAACCTCCTCCAAAGGGGACACAGCCCCCTGGGTGTGGGGCCACCTCCTCCAGGTCCCCAAAAAAAGGGTTTCAAAGGGACAGCCAGGAGTTGGAGCAAGCCGGCACGTGTCAGAGCGAGCTGGGATTGCCGCTGCCGCCACCAAAGAGCAGAGCCCCTTTTTTTTTGGAGGGAGGCAGTAGCCACAGCTTTATTTATCCTGCCCTGAGAGTCCAAGAGAGCCACTGCCAGAGGAGGAGGAGGAGGGTAGCGGCATCAGTGCCTCCACAGGGTCCCGTGCTCCTCCTCGGCTCCAGGGGATGAGGAGGGAGCAGGCGGCCCCCGACCATCAGCAGGGTGGCTCAAAGAGGTACTCAAGGTCTGGCTGCTGCAGTCTCTGCTCCCTCTTCTTGTTCTTGGCAAACTCTCTCAGCATGGCCATCACGTCGTTCTCAAACTCAGCCGGCGTGGGCTTCGCTTCTGCGGTAAAAACAGAAAAAGGCAGCAAAAGAACAGCTCCATCCTGCCCCAGAGCACCCAGTACCACGCTCACCCACCCCACCAAGCCCAGCTCCCACGGCCCTGAGTGGTGACAGGGCTCCAGTTTCGAAGCTGGGCAGGACAGCAGGCAGCTGGACCATACCTGTGGCCCAGTAGTAAATGTCCCAGTCGTTGCTGGGTTCGTTGATGAGCCGGTCGTAGAGGTTCAGCTGCTGCTCGCTCATGCGGTTCAGGTGCTCCTTCGCAAAGAGGCTGCAGAGGGGACATACGAGGATGAGTGTGGGTGATGGGAGGAAGAACCGGGCTGGCACCGAGCTCTCTACACGATGCCAGAAGACGGGGAGAAGCTGAGTCCAAAGTGCCCTGCCTCCTGCCTTCAGCCCCAGCCTGCTCTGTTAACCATCACTTCAGCTCCGAAACCTGCCTGGTCTTGCCTCGTTCATACATCCCACAAATTCCCCACATCCTTCCCAAAGGATTTCAACTCAGCCATCACCTTGGAGCTTCCTCCAGAGCTCTCAGGAGCCTCTGGCTCTGCCCTGTCCTGCCCAGCAGCACTGATCATTGCATCCTATGCGAGCAAAGCTCTTATGGTGATTTATCCAACGGCTCAGCCTTCTATCCCCCAAGCCACACCATACCTCCTTGGGTTTTGGATTACAGCTGTTCATTACTCTACCAAACTCTCTCCCACAACACTCAGGGCTCTTCCCTGTTAACTAAAAACCCATGACATGCTCAGGGAGCTGAACTACACAGCAGCAACACTCACCTGGCCTGGCCTTCTCCCTTAGCCCTCCACAGCTGATATCATCTCCCCTGTAAAGCACACACCATCCCTGCCTGCCGGGGACAAACTGTCAGGGTGCCGTAGGGAAGGACAGGCAGCGAGGAGGCAGACAAGCAGCAGAGGGTGGCTGAGAAGGCAGGAGGGAGAATGAGCACCCCACAGCTCACCTGAGCAGGATGCAGTTCTCCAGCATTCCCCTCTTCCTGCTCTCGTAGAGCAGCCGAGCTCTCTTGGTTTCCAGCGGCTCATGGGGGCGCTCCTGCCAGGGGGGCAAGGGGATCTCCAGTACATCCTTCCCCGACTCCGTTGGGGAGTCCCCGCGGTAGCCACGTTGCAGGCTCACCGGCCCCAAAATGTGCCGGGACAGGGCCCACCTGGGCAGTGAGCAGAGCTGTGAAAGGGACATGGGCACCACAGGGGACGTCAGGCCTGGCAGCCCCAGCACAGTGGGGACAGCGAGATCACCAGCTCACAAATGGACCCCCCAGGCCACAAACCCTCATCTCACACCACCCCCAGACCCTGCTGTCCCTCCCAGACCACCCCATTCCATATCTCCCCCTATGCTGCTCCCATCCCATAATCCCCCATGACCTTGCTGCCCCTCTAAATCCCCCATCCCAAACACCCTAGACCTTGCTGCTCCCACAGACTCCAACAACCACATAATCCCCCCAGACCCTGCTGCCCCTCACCCTCTCCATAATCGCCCTTCAGATCTTGCTACCC